AGGTATTTGTCGACCACCCAGGTATACCTCATCCCAGGAGGCATACCTGGGTGGTCGACAAATACCTTTGATGTCGACCCCCGCGCATCCAGACTATCGTGCTGAGCCGACAAACAGCTGATCAGCTGTTTGTCGGCTCAGCGGGGCAGCCATGTAAATTTAAATGAAGCGGCGATTATTTAAATCGCCGCTTCATTTTACTAGGTCTGGTAGCCTAATCTACATGCCTCTGGTGACAGAGGCATGTAGTCTAGACGTACCCTAAGAGACATCTCTGTCTGATCCATGTGCTCCTCTGCACGAATCAGCTTCCCCCCATCTCTTAGTTTAAAAACTGCTCTGCGACCTTTTTAATGTTAAGTGCCAGCAGTCTGGATCCACTTTGATTTAGGTGGAGCCCATCTTTCCAGTGTAGGCTCCCCCTATCCCAAAAGTTTCCCTGGTTCCTTATAAAGCTAAATCCCTCCTCCCTACACTATTGTCTCATCCATGCATTGAGACTCTGAAGCTCTGCCTGCCTATCTGGTCCTGCATGTGGAACTGGAAGCATTTCTGAGAATGCCACCATAGAGGTCCTGGATTTCAGTCTCTTTCCTAGCAGCCTAAGTTTGGCTTCTAGGACATCTCTTCTACCTTTCCCTATGTCATTGGTACCTACATGTACCACACCCACCGGCTCCTCCCCAGCACTACACATAAGTCTATCTAGATGCCTCGAGAGATCTGCAACCTTCACACCAGGCAGGCAAGTCACCATACAGTTCTCCTGGTCATCACAAACCCAGTTATCTACATTTCTAATGATCGAATCTCCCATTACTAGCAACTGCCTTTTCCTACTGACTGGAGTTCCCTCCCCTAGAGAGGTAACCTTAGTGTGAGAGGATACCCCAACATCTGGAAGGAGGGTCCCAACTATGGGAAGGTTTCCCTCTGCTCCCGTTGACTGCTCTCCTTCTCTGAGCCTTTCATCCTCCTTAACAGCACAGGGGCTGTCTGACCGGAGATGGGACAATTCTACAGTGTCCCAGAAAGCCTCATCTATGTACCCCTCTGCCACCCCCAGCTCCTCCAGTTCAGCCACCCTGGCCTCCAAAGCCTGTACGCGGTCTCTGAGGGCCGGGAGCTTCTTGCACTGAATGCACACATACACCACCCACCCACAGGGCAGGTAATCATACATGCTACACTGAGTGAAATAAACAGGATAGCCCCCACTCTGCTGCTGGGCTTCTGCCTGCATTCTCCCGTACAGTTACCTAGGTTATTGATAGGGTTTCTAGTTAAATCAGGAAGTTTTGATTAAAACCTTTAAACTAAACTATAAAGACGCAAATGTACCTTGGCCCCTTCCCACTCTCCTTCCAAACTCCCTGGCAAAGATCCCTGGTCACTGACTCACTGCTTTATAAAGCCCTGGACTTCCTGATAGCCCCACCCCCTGACTAAGGCTCAGCCAATTAACAGAGGCTTCTAGATTTCACAGCTTCCAACTGCCAGCCACAGCACACGCTCCTTCAAACAAACAAACAAAACAGACAAACACAAGCTCAGCACACAGCAAGTAATCCCCCCCCCCACACACACACACACTACAGACAGCCACTTAACTCAAGGGTCCCGAATTTGCTCCTCCTTTTCCTGGAGAACTGACAACTCTAGTTCATTTAGGGTGCATCTACGGAGCACCCGAAACTCAAAATATGATACACAATGTGTGTTACTCAAATTGCGTAGCTTATTTTGAGTCTGTTTTGAAATAGCTTACTTCATCATTTGGCGCTGTCTACAGAGTGCCAAATTTCGAAATAAAGTGCTATTTGGAGCAGTCCTTTACTCCTTTTAGAAGTAATAGATAGGTAGCTATGTTAGTCTGATCTTGGTAAAACAAAAGGAAAAATATGTAGCACTTTAAAGACTAACAAGATAGTTTATTAGGTGATGAACTTTCAAGGATGGTGAAATAACATGTCTGCTATATTTCAAAATAACGGACATGTTCAAAAGACTCAGGAGCTATTTTAGGACACCTCCGGTATCCCGAACTAGCACTGCAGTGTAGATGTACCCACAGATATTGTCAAGTTTACAATTTACCTGAGTAAGTGCCTGGAGCAGCCTTTGCTGTGAATGAAACAAAACAGCATTAGAGCAGGAAAAGGAAAGCCAAATAAAAGATATCCTACACTTACCTACAGATTTCTAGATGTTTGGAGAGCATTCCAAAGTCAGCAAACCCAAGTCTTGGAGAAAAGAAATGTCTTGAGCAGCTATGGAGCAGTCTGCTCATGCCAACACTCGGGGCACTAATGAGATCAAAAGGGAGCAAGTATTTACACCAGTATTGGCACCCTCAAGAGGTGGGGAGTAGGAATGAAGCAAATGTAGGTATGAACATTGATAAACAACTATGCTACTTTAGCAATGCTGAAACATACATGGGACATTTAACAAAAATCTTATCACAAACAGCATGAAATTGGCCCATCTCCATGGAAAAGTGTGAGGGGGAGAGTAGATACTGAAACATAGGTCTTGAAAGTAAAGGATAGTTAAGAAGCGGAACAAATTGTCAAGGGAATTCCCATCATTTTAGGTTTTTAAGAGCAAGTTGGATAACTATCTGTTGAGGATAGCCTAGGTGGTATACATGGACCACCCTCAGCATAGGAGGATGGACTAGATGACCACGCAAGATCCTTCCCAGCCTTACATTGCTATGATTCTGTGTAACAAGGTGTAGACACAGTACATGAGCCAAATTTTTCTCTTTCCTTTAATCCCTGAAAGAAGCCTAGTCGACAATCTACTCCTGAGGCCAGGCCATTGCCTTCCACAGTAAAACCTGTGGGTGAGAGTGTGTCTGACAGAAAAATTGCAATGAGAATACTCTTGTAATTCATTCTCAATCTGGCTAGGGGGGGAATGCATGTGTTTTCCATCCATCACGGAGTCTGCCCCAAAATCTGCCAGGTTCACATGGCCCTCAAAGAGGACAAAATCATCGGCATGGAATCCTAGTGCTTCTACGCCTGTTCTCTTGCAGTATGGCCATGTTGAGGGATTCTGAGAAGGGTTGCGGGACTGTCCACAGAAAACAAATATCATCTCATCTTGTCCTAGTAAACTGTGTAGCTAGAGGAGGAATGATGCGGAATGGCCTTTTAGGGGACTTGGTGCTGACCAAGCAACTCACACCACTTCTCTTCCATTTGGGGAGGAGAGAAATCTGGGTGGACCAAGAGTCCCTTCCACATAATTGTCTGGTAACGAGTGATCCTGGGTCCAAAAAGCAACTAACGGTTCTTAATAGTTGTTTGTTAGGCACCTAGACTCTACAATGAGACGTTTGTTACAATATAAAGACAGACGGGGCTACTTTACTAGTGAAAATATTTACGAATATGGTGCTTGAAAAAAATCATAAAACTGTTATCATACACATTCATTTGTATGTAATTAATCAAATAATTGATTCAGCAACTATTACCCAACCAATAATAATAAGCAGAAGTATTGGGTAAAGCAAACAGAATTTGAAACTTACCTTCAGCTATTACCAGGAATGGTTATGACATAATAAGAAAAAAAGTTAACAGTTAGTGTCAGGCACACATTGAGAAACAGTTGGATAATTATCTCTAATATGAAACACCATTTGAATTAAGTATTATGAAAAGAAAAAAAATCAAATATGGTTTGATGCTTCAGACATCTCTCTTGTAGAAATTTCAATTTCAAGACCTTATTCTTTCTCTTGGTGTAAATGAATGTAAACAGACTGAAAAAAATGTTTAACATATGGGGCACCAAATCTGTAATAATGTATGCATGAACAAAATGAATATTAACCCCTGGGAACATTATGCTGGTAATTGCTTTACTCTGTGTCACTTTTATGCTGCTGACAACTACCCCTTGACAATTTTACTCTATTGCAATTTTCATGATCGGAGATGAGATCCTTCATATTTCTGGTACTGCTAAGGACTATAGTTGGATCTGTACCCCTATCTACATGTCTGGAAGCTAGCAATGGATACGCAGTATTTTCTTATTGTAACTAGTAGTGGTACTGTTTGGATGTTCTCTGCTCTCTAATTTGCACATGTATTCTACAGGTAGGGACAAATCTAGAGTTTTCCTTTAAGGATTATCTCTAAGGAAGGCCTTAGAAAATAGAAAACACTTAGAGAAACATGCACAAAAATACAGCCAGTCCCCAGGTTACATGGATCTGACTTACTTGGGATCCCTACTTACAAACGGGGTGAGGCAACCCCGCACTAGCTGCTTCCCCCCAGCAGACTAGGGAGACGCAAAGCTAGCGCCCCTTCCCAGCAGACCAGGGAGACACGGAGCGGCTTTTCTCAGCAGACACCTCAGCTTGAGAATAAAGGACTGAGGGAAGTGAGGTGTGGGAGAATAAAACTGAGCTCTGGAGAAATGTTTGGCTAGAGTTTCCCCTACAATATGTACCAGTTCCGACTTACTTACAAATTCAACTTAAGAACAAACCTACAGTCCCTATCTTGTACGTAACCCTGGGACTGCCTGTAATGTTCTGTATAATCATTGCGTGCTTCCATGTCAATCAAATATTTATCTGTTTAAGATTAATCATTCACGTTCTCCAGTTGTTCCATTGTGCTTTGGCGTCATTATCTTGGTAGAATATTACATCATGTACCATGGAAATTGGTATGATTTCTCACATTTAACAGTACTATGACTCAATTGCAAGATTACTCCTTCAGAATTGACTAGTGTCCAAGTGGAGGCACCTAGGAACTGGCTAGTTTCAAGATTTATTCCCATGGACAGAAATCATCCCTGAGGCCCAGAATGCATTTCCCTTATGTTAATTCTACCCAAAAGCAGTTCTTGACCAAGCATGCGCAGGAAGAGGTAAGTCAGCTGGGATCACATCTGAAGGCCAGTGAAGAAGCTATGATGGTGTGCTGGGAAGAAGGCAAGGAGAAGAAAGTCATAAAGCCAGCGGCGAGGGTCGGGGAGTAGAGTCCTTCTGGGGTGTTTTGTGGAAGGTTTGGTGGAAGGCCAAGAAACAGATTATAGGTTAAACCTCTAAAACCCAGGGCTCGCTGGTCCAGTAACATCCATGCTACTACAGGGCCACAGATATTGCTGGACCAGAGAGCCCCGGATGGCCCGGTTCAGGGGCGGGGCTGGTGGTGGAGCGCACTACCTCAGCCAGGCTGAAAGCAGCAGGGTTAGCACCCAGCCCCGGTTGGCTGGGCCGGGCAGGAACAGCGGGGAGTGCAGCTCCCCCTGGGCCAAAGGCAGGGGGGCCAGCGCCCGGAAGCTCAGTTCTGCCTGGGTCAGAGGCAGCAGGATAATGGGGGCCAGAAGCGCAGTCCTGACACAGCAAGAAGAGAAGCCCACACCGGCTGGCACTGGGAAAGCAGCAGAGATGGGCACCCCCACTGGTGAGGAGCACCAGGCTGGAGGGCAGCCCTGACAGAGCTGGGGGCAGCTGGGCTCACAGCAGAGAGCAGGCCCAAGAAGGGAGCTTTGTCCTCCCATGGTCAGGCAAACTCCGTGGTTTGGGACCATTCAGGTCCCAACAGTGCCGGACCAGGAAGGTCCCGCCTGTAAGAGATTCAGAGCAATGTATGTGGTGACGTAATAGCCGAGACACTGAAAAGGAATACACGTGTCTTAATTTCTCCAGTACAGCTTAATAAAGATGAACAGAGTCATTCTTTATGCCATATAGGTTAATAAGAGAAAATGGAGTGTAAGAGAGAACACTAATTTAATGAACTAATTTAATGAGCTAATAACAGGCAAAGCAAACAAGGGAAAGCTAAATGGATCTGAATTTTAAATAAGACTCATTTTTCTATTGCATGATGTATGTGTATTGCATTCCAGACATAAAGACATTACCTGCCCTGCAGTGCATCTAAATGTCTGAGCATGCAAAACTTTCCATGAGTTCTCTGTCTTGATATGACTAGAACTTTCTGCAGCTGGCTCTTAATGAAAACAATACACAGAAAAATATAGGAGGAAGGAAAGTAAATTAAAGCTGAGCATGTCCTGGTTGTTTAGAACAACAAATAGTCTGGTAGCACTTTATAGACTAACAAAGCATGTAGATGGTATCATGAGCCCACAAAGGCTCAGCCCATGAAAGGTCATGATCCCATCTACATGTTTTGTTAATCTATAAAGTGCTACCCGACCATTTGTTGTTTTTTCCTGTACAGACTAACCCGGCTACCCCCTGAAGCTTCTAGTTGTTTAGGTTAAACTTGCTTCTTGGTTTTATTTATTTTATTGTTCTGAGATGGTTATATTTTATACACTATGGCTACGTCTACACTGGCATGATTTTCCGAAAATGTTTTTAACGGAAAAGTTTTCCGTTAAAAGCATTTTCGGAAAAGCACGTCTAGATTGGCAGGATGCTTTTCCGCAAAAGCACTTTTTGCGGAAAAGCGTCCGTGGCCAATCTAGACGCTGTTTTCCACAAAAAAGCCCCGATTGCCATTTTCGCGATCGGGGCTTTTTTGCGGAAAACAGTACTATGCTGTCTACACTGGCCCTTTTGCGCAAAAGTCTTTCGGAAAAAGACTTTTGCCCAAACGGGAGCAGCATAGTATTTCTGGAAAAGCACTGATGATTTTACATGAGATCATCAGTGCTTTTCCGGAAATTCAAGCGGACAGTGTAGACAGCTGGCAAGTTTTTCCGCAAAATCATCTGATTTTGCGGAAAAACTTGCCAGTCTAGACACAGCCATCGAGTCTGAATTTACAATATATTTTAAATTGATGGAGAAATGGGTAGCAGTGGAAAGTGGACTGATGGAAGTGAGTTTAAAGGAGGAAAATGAATCTACATGTTGCACAGGAGAAAGCTCTACTAGCATAGGAGGGCATGGCTCAGAAAACAGACTTGTAGCTATATTTGAACCTCCACTCCAATGTTACAGACTTCTATTTAAGGGAATGTTAAATGGTCACTTCAATTCCCTTAGCAATGTGCAACTGTGAAAATGTCTTTACCTTCTACTGGTTTATCAGCAATTGCAGACTGATCCTCATTATCTTCTGGTTTCGTAACCACCATGGATGTCAAAGGTGTCACAAACTTGTATTTCAGAGAGAGCTCCAGAGCTTCTGCTGTAAGGTTGTCCTTTTCTTCTCCCTGAGCTACAGTGCTGAATAAAAGAAGAGAAACAGAACATAAACTTTCTACAAAACCAGATTATTAAACAGTGGTTTAAGCTTTTAATTCTCCTGCTAAAATATAAAATACTTCTGTTGAACAGAAATACACATTTCCTTGTGAGAGTGTTCCTGACTTCTCTGACAGACAGCGGAGGTAGCCACAGTCTGGTCCTGTATTTGCATTCCTTTAAAATTAACTTGAAAAAAACAATACCTACTATGTTTTGGGATAGAGAGTATAATAGGTAAACAGTTCTGAAGGTTCTCAGTATATGTAATGCATATCAACAATGAGCTGCCCAATGATTTCATACTATTTCACAGAGAATTTTATTTTTTACGTTGTTACCGTTTTTCCAGTAATTGTTGGATGGTGAGATAAGCCCAGAGCCTCTCAATGTAATCCCCAAATATGTACTCCTGTTCTTGAAGAGCTTTCGCCATTTCATTAACGTCTGCTTGTTCGATATATGTCACATCATTTAGTGCCTGTTAGGAAGAAAGAAACTTCTCTCTGTAACAGGTACCCAGACTATGCTCTGGTAACAGGAAAAACTGTAAAAAAAACCAATAGTCCTTAGAGACTAACCAAAAAATCCCCATTGATAGTTTCATGAGTTTTTGTGGAAACAGCCCACTTCATCAAATGACAAATATGGAGATAAATATAGTATATGTAATGTGAAATGGACCGATCTGTGTCACAGTCCATATACACGTGCTACTATATATTTGATGAAAGTTGTACATTTATGCTGGATTTTTTAGACTAGTTGCAGAATCCGAGAGTGGAAATTATTTTAGTCCACTTACTACCTAATACAAGCAAAGTTCTATGGGTATTTCAAAGGGAAGACCTTTCAAATATTAAATTGATTTTAAGAGTGGAAGTATTCCTCAAAGGCTTAAAGACTATTTTGGAGGACATATGCATTTGACATGCAAACCAAATCACACAATACTTGGCAGGGTGTGGGGGGCAAGAAGTAGCAAGGCTGGTATGTGGATTTCACTAAGCAATATTGCATTAGAACAAGATTTTCAAACTGTCATACTGATGAATATCTAATTGTACTTTTAAAAATGTTTGCATAAAAAAGTTAAAAGCCACAGATTATTCCATGCAACTGTGCCACATCACGTTAATTAAACAATAAGTCTAAGCCTGTAAAAACAAAACAAAACAAAATCAAGAGATGTCAACATTAAGGTTCTGCTAACAACACTAATTTACTCACATTGGACATAAGTACAAAAGTACTCCAGATTAACATCAGAATGATTCAAAGAAAAAATTAGCTAACTGCATTTCATGCCTTTGGTATATTTAAATGCTTCGTACTTTGCAATATTTGATTTGTAGAATAAAAGTGCATTGGGGGATTTGTATGCACTGCCAAATTCGGACTCTCACCCATTCAGGTATGTTATGAAACAAAGAAGGGCTTGAACCAATCAGACCAATCCCATACTTACACCTTGAGCTTTCACATCTGCCGTCAAACTGTTCAAGTCATTATCTGTAATACGTCCAGCCACTACAATTTCAGAGCCATCATAGTAATGCTTAAAATTGTTTTGTGTTAAGTCAGCAATTGCATTCTCAGGGTAGTTTAATTCTACTTCTGTAAGCATAGGATTGGCTACTTCATCATAAAAACCCTAGAGGGGAAAGAAAAGATTAGATCTAGCACATTTGTAATTTATAGGCACTCCTGTGCCCACAGACCTTCTGACACCGGAACAAACAAAACGGTTCATCAACACATGCTGCCTCCCAATTTCTACTCATTCTATAAGCTAAGGGGAAAGCTGTTACCCAGGGACCAGCTAGCACTGCAGGACCTGGTCATATTTTTTTAAATTACACTGGAAGTGAAGGCAAATGTTATCAGAAATATCATTGTCAAGGACACTATTTAGATGGTTATGGTTTTACCTCCATTTGTATGGCTGAATCAGAGTCTGGATAAATGCGACGAGCCACCCCTTTATTCTCTAGTGCCATCTTTTCTAGAAAATTATAGTCTATACCATAGCCAAAAGCTAGATTGTATAAGGGGTATTTTCCTTGAATGGCAGTTTTTACATTCGCTTGAATTTGCTGAGGGTCTGATACACCTGTATATTAGATAACACAAAGCAATGAGGCATCCAGATTTTGTTTATGAAAGCAATAGCAAACCAAAATAATAATAATAATAAAATGAAAGACACAAGGTTATTTATTTTTATATATATTTTTCAGGATGCAACTATCATGTCTTCTAGATAGCAGTAATTCTAAACTCACTTTAGACAAAGTATATACAAGTATCTAAGGGTATGTCTACACTACCACCTTAGTTCGAACTAGGGTGGTAATGTAGTCAACCGGAGTTGCAAATGAAGCCCGGGATTTGAATTTCCCGGGCTTCATTTGCATATTGCCGAGCACCGCCATTTTTAAATGTCCGCTAGTAACGGTAGTTCGGAATAAGAAGCCTAGTCCAAACTACCTAGTTCGTGGTGCATGTAGCCGCGGAGCACGGAGTCCGAACTAGCAGACATTTAAAAATGGCGGTGCTCGGCAATATGCAAATGAAGCCCAGGAAATTCAAATCCCGGTTGCCTACATTACCACCCTAGTTCGAACTAGGGTGGTAGTGTAGACATACCCTAACTTACAAGGCAGACTTCCTTAAAAAAAAACTCAAACCCTGTATTAATTCCTTAAATAAGGTTCTTCAAGAGACAGAATATATACAGGCCACATTTATGCTTTCATGAGGTTCACAGATTGGTGCAGCCATCATCATAACTTAGGGAAGTCCCATGTATATTCTCCTTAAATGAGGTTCTTCAAGAGACAGAATACATACAGGCCACATTTATGCTTTCAGGAGGTTCACAGATTGGTGCAGCCATCAGCATAACTTAGGGAAGTCCCATGTATATTTCTGTTATGGCATTGTGGGAGCCGCTGCTTTTCTTATGGGCTACTCTACAAGTAGGAGTAGCATGTCTTATGGAGTTCTCCTCAAACTCCCGGCCACATCTTGGCATGCCCATCTCTTCTACTCCATATTTAGGAGGGCCTTGATGCAATGGTGATTAATGGACAGAATGGGTGGAAGAAACCCACTTCTCATATTTATTCATCACCAAGAAATAAAACCCTGTAAAGGAAATTGTCACCACCATAACTATTCAGGTAGACCAGTGCAAACTCCTAATGTAAATATGCTGCTCCAGCTCAAAGCAAGGCATACAGCAGTTTAGCTTAACTGACACCTCCCCATCAGTGCAGGCCATCTAAATTAAGGGTTTGCATCAATGTAACTGAATTAATTTAGCCACACCCCTAAAAATGTTCTTAGTATAGCAAGGATGATGTTGGGTAGAAGTTTAGTAATGTGGCCAGATTGTGACTAGGATGAGATGATCAAAGCAATATATGCTTATGAATAGTGAATGATGAACTGAAACCAAAGACCTAATTCTCCAGTCTGCTATAGCAGCATTTCACTATTTGTAATTCCATTGAAATCAATGGGGAAGCAGGTCTTTCATCTGCTGAAATGACAGACTGGTAAAGTAATTATTTTCTTTCACCTGCTTAATTCCACTTTATGTTTATTTCATTTACTAAGACACTTACCTTGATTAGGTTGACCATCTGTTAACATGATAATTATAGATGCACTTCTCTTGGGCACAGAATTTGTTTCATAGGCTGTATTCAGCATTTCAATTCCCTTCATTAAACCACCATGTAGATTTGTCACTGCAATGTAGATACACATTAGGGTTAAAAACTGGTGGTCAAAAAGAGAAATATTTTTAATCATAGATTCATAGAAATATAGGGCTAGAAAGGACTTCAGGAGGACATCTCATTCTATCTCCCCATGCTACGGCAGAGTTAAGTATATTTAGACCATCCCCACCTGGTGTTTATCTAACCTTTCTTAAAACACCTCGGCTATGTCTAGACTGGCATGATTTTCTGCAAATGCTTTTAACGGAAAAGTTTTTCCGTTAAAAGCATTTGAGGAAAAGAGCGTCTAGATTGGCATGGACGTTTTGCGCAAAAGCACTTTTTGCGGAAAAGCGTCCGTGCCAATCTAGATGCGGTTTTGCGCAAGAAAGCCCTGATTGCCATTTTCGCCATCGGGGCTTTTTTGCACAAAACAGTTCTCAGTTGTCTACACTGGCTCTCTTGCGCAAAAGCATTTGCACAAGAGGGCTTTTTCCCGAACGGGAGAGTCGTATTTGCGCAAGACGCTGATGATCATACATGAGATCGTCCGTGTTCTTGCGCAAATTCAAGTGGACAGTGTAGACAGCTGGCAAGTTTTTCTGCAAAAGCAGTTGCTTTTGCGGAAAAACTTCCCAGTCTAGACGCAGCTCTCAAACTATAGCAATTCCACACCCTCACAAAGTAATCTGTTCCCTTACTTAAACTATCCTTAGTGTTAGAAAATTTTTCCTAACATTGAATGTAAATCGTGCCACAAAGCAAGTAAACTACCTCTTGTCCTACTTTTGGTGGACATGGAGAACAAGAGATCACTGTCTTCTCTATAACAACTTTTCACATACTTGAAGACAGTTATCAGAGACTAAACGTGTCCAGGTCTTTCAACTTTTCCTAATAGGTTAGCTTTTCTAAACCTTTCATCATTTGGGTAGATCTCTTCTGGAGTCTCTCTAATCTGTGCACTTTTTTTTCGTCTAGTGTCCAAACTGGAAACACAGCTACAGCTAAGGTCTCGCCAGTGCTGAGTAGAGCTGAATTATTGCCTGTGTCTTATGAATACATACCAGAATGACAGTTGCCTTGTTTACAACGGCATCACACCGTTGACTTATATTCAGATTGGGACCCCTATCACTCCCAGGTCCTTTGCTGCAGTTCTACTGCCTAGCCAGTAAGTCTCCATTTTTAATGTTAGATAATGGAGGGGAAGAGAGATACAGATGGAGTATGTATCACACCTTGTAAACACTCCATAAGAGGTTCTGTCACAAATGCAACCTTTGGTCAGTAAGGGCTACAGCAGAGTGCAGTATTATCTGCAAACACAGGAGGCTTAATCTTGCAGGCGCTGGAGCTGTAATTCATATGGTTGCCACAAAGGGATTTTTGCCTCTACAATACAGGCAGTCCCCGGGTTACATGGATGCAACATACTTGGGATCCCTACTTACAAACAGGGTGAGGCAACCCCGCACTAGCTGCTTCCCCCCAGCAGATCAGGGAGACGCGGAGCGGCTTTTCTCAGCAGACACCTCAGCTTGAGAATAAAGGACTGAGGGAAGTGAGGTGTGGGAGAATAAAACTGAGCTCTGGAGAAATGTTTGGCTCGAGTTTCCCCTACAATATGTACCAGTTCCGACTTACATACAAATTCAACTTAAGAACAAACCTACAGTCCCTATCTTGTATGTAACCCGGGGACTGCCTGTACAGACTCCAGGCAACAGAGGATGTACAACAGTTAAATTTGGGGTACATCAACAAATTTCCTTTGTAATCCTTCCCAAAATCTTCAAGACAGCTATACAGGCAGTCCCCGACTTATGCGGATCCGACTTATGTCGGATCTGCACTTACGAACGGGGCTTTCTCGCCCCGGAGCTTGCAGGCAGCGGTCCGCCACCTCGACCTCCGGGGCGAGAAAAGCTGCTCCCGGTGCCCCTGGTCTGCGGGGGACCGTCTCCTATGACTCTTTTAGGGTACAGTACCAAGAGTGACCCTCACTACAATCCCTGGAAAATTCATTGTGCTTCCAGGTCATTGCTCAAATTAGAATATCATATAACAACAATTTCTAAACACAGATCAATTATTTCTTTAAAGTAAATCTTGGAGCGGCAGAGTATCCACAAACTTCAGTGGTGGGCTATGAAACATCAGTCCTAGGAACTGTTTTTAGCTATGCCACTGACTCACTGGGTGACCTTGAACAAATTATTTAACTGTTCCAGGCCTCAAACTGTAGAGTGCCTAATGGTTTCCTATCCCACGCTATTCGATTACAGTAGTAATTCCAGGCACTCATCAAGATCAGGGGATCCACTTCTGTATGTGCTATGTACAAAAAATGATGACTTGTAGCTTAATGAAAAAGCATTTGCAAAATGCTTTGGGAATTGTGATTGGATTGAACCAGATGGATGCTAAGTACTGTCTAGGATTTTCTGAGACCTAGAGAGGGTTGTACAGCTAAAACTCAGCCATTTCAGAAAACTTCCATTCTATTTATGTGAGCCCTTTCTCTCTCCCACCCCCTCTTTCCTAACATATGGGATGTAAGACGGGGTCTGGATCAGGGAAAATACTCACCTGTGAAATGAAAAAGTACTGGAATGCATGTTTTGTGTGTAGGTAGCTCTTTCCTTCTTTCATTTGTGAACATTTGTGCAACACGCGTACATTCAATTACCTATTTCTGTAAAATGCCCTTTGATTTGTCTACACCAATGTTGTTGTTGTTAGACGTGTGTGCTTACCTTCTTAACTGGTTGCAAAATAAAGACTAAGGTTTAGCTTTTGCAGCAAATGAAGTGTTTTCCCCTTTTGTATTTGCTGACAACTTTGCTTGCCTAGGGTGAGTTGTTTTGCATAATACTCTGTAAATTAGAGGCAAGATGGTCCAATGGTTAAAGCACTAGCCACAGACTTTGGAGATGTCCTTTCTCTGCCATGACCTCCTGTGTGACTTAAAATGCAGTATTCCTAGCCCAAAGCATCCAAAATTTGAGAGAAGCTCCAAAAGATCATGAGATTGGCTTCCAAATCAGGAGATGATTAAAAATAATATATGTTGGGTTCTTTCTCTTTGCTTTCTGTCTTTAGGTTGCACTCAGGTCACATTTTCTAACTTTTCTCTACAGCCAGGAGGAGTAAGAAAATTTACTTTTTTAAAAAACAATGAAAGCTAAGCTCTTCCTGGCTCCAACAGCTGGAGCTTTAGCGAAAACCACCAAATGTCAGGAGACTCACAAAAAAGTCATGAGAGTTAGCAACACTAGTACTATGACCAAAGTTAGCAGGCATCTGTTATCATGGGTGTGTGTGTGTGTGCGCGCGCATACACACCCATGCAAATAGCAGAGGTATGCATGGGGAGGCATTTTTCAGATTCACCCAGAAATGCTAGCAGTTTGAGACTAAAGTTGCTGTCTCTGTAACTGTGGTACTGTCAATTTTAACCACTGGCCAAGTGCTTCAGTCCTGTGTGCTAAGAGTCACTGTGGATTGAAGGATTCATCTCTCAATTTTTAATTCCAGTAACAGGATTTTTGCTTTTTGGTGAATTTACATACTATTTTTAGGGTGGAGGTGTAGTGATTTCTATTTAAAACTTGACTGTCATTCAGTTCATTCTCTGAAGACTGAATTTGTGTGTTAGCTTCTTCAGTGTTTATTTGAAGTACCACCTATTGGCAAGTTTACTACAATACTTACTGCCTCGTGTGCTAATAGCTTGAGCAAATTCCTTGGCTTCCTTCAGATTCTCAGGAGTGGCTTGGACTAATTTGTCTTTCCAAACGTGTACATCCGTACCAAACAGTATGAAATTAAAATAGTCCTCTTCTTTAATATCCTCTAATATTTTAAGAAGTGCTTGCCTTGTCTATAATTAAACAAATACAACTTTAAATGAATGAAACTGATGTGGGTACATTGAATAACAAAGGAACGCCAACAGCCTTTACAAGATTTGTTTCACTGAGCATTCATATAGCGTGTAGTGAAAAATCTGAGCTTGATTCTGCCCTCAGTCGTGCTACTATCAACAAGGAATAATTCCAGTCAAATTGATTAATTATGCCAGCATATCTTCTGGGTCAATTAGATGTAAATCAGGCCCTATGATAGGATCACTTGGCTAATTATCGCCCACGCTGAGGGGAAAGGTTAGTTCTACTAAGTAGTAGCATTGGAGTGTGGAAGGAGATCTTAAGTAAAAGAGCCTAGGTCTTGATATGCAGCAGCAAAACAGAAGGTCTGAGCATCAGAATGGAGGGGGGAGTTCTAATACTAAGACACTTCCTATCACCCAAAGCTGGAAGATAGTACAAAAGATACAGAAAAAGGGGGACAAAGACAATATTATGCATATGTTTAAACTTACAGGATACCCAGAACATGGAGAAACTATTTGTAGATATTTTGGTTTAGAATTGTAAAGATATAAAACTATAGCTTGAAAACATCCGTGATGATAGTTTTAGTTTAAAATGAGACTCAGAACACATCCTCTTGGTAGGGAGTGTCACATACCTCCACTGGGTCTTCAGGTCCCTAGAATCTGTACCCCATCACTAACGTTGTAGTAAATGTAATCAATTACCTGTTGTATTCCTATTCCATCCATTGAGCCACTAATGTCTATTACAAAAATCACATTTTTTGGAAAACGTGGAAGATTTGTTGGCGCAAAAAAGTGTACAAAGTATCCGTTGACAATCTGAAACACAGAGAAGATATGCAAAAGATGTGACTTCAGTTGACTCCCTTCAGATTCTCAGCATGTCCAGCTGACATTTTAAAGTTTAGAATTTACCTGTAAATCACCTGGACTGTCTCTCTTCACATCATACTTAATTATAAAATCACCATCCAATAGTGATGTTGAGCAAGTGGCACAGGTTCGTTGTTGGTCAAGGGTTGGCTTGAAAGACACATGGCCCTGAAAGCAGAAACAGTCAGACTCAAGCTTTAGTAAATTAATGTAAAATACATGAGAAGGGTTGTGTTTGAGACAAATGTATATACAGAAAAGTGAAAGTCTACAGGATAAAACTGGTTTAAAATGGATGGCATTTTAAACAAGCTATCTAGACCCAAGTCAATATTTTTTTACTATTCTGAGTAACTGAGTTTGTGTACGGTAGCAAAAACATTAAAAATAAAATAGTATTATGACGCCCTTCCTCGGCATCTGTTAGAGATGTAAATATTGACAACATCATTATACAGTTATACAATAACGTTTACAAATGCTCCTGCAAAAAGGGTGATTTTTAGATGTTATTTGAAAATGGGATAAATGGGAGAGTAGAATGCAAGGAGTATGCTAATGGATAGCCAGTTCTACCCACACTGACCCAACACAAAAGGGTCAGTCACTTGTCTGTCTACAAACCACCCCTCTCTCTGTCCACTGTCTAGCACAAGGGCACCCTGGCCTAATGCACTACTGTAACACATTAAACAAGTGGATGGCAGAGCAGTAACATCAATAGGCTAAGGCTCAATTTCAAGATCTCAAACCTTGGTTCCTCACACTAAATGCTTTAAAAAGCAATGGAGTAGATTTAAAGTCAGTCTCCTGACTTTTTCCTCATGCTGTGGTCCCTTTGTGTCATTTTCAGTGGCATAAAAGGGCTGTAGCTGGCCTCTGAAGAATACCCTGTAATGGCAGAGGGTAAAAGAGCATCTCCACCTTTGGTTCACATACAGCCTGCTTATTTTCTGTCTCCAGCCTCCAGTCTAGGGCTATGTCTACACTAGCGGCTTCTTGCATGAGTAATATGCAAATGAGGCTAAGCGTGGAATATCGCCAAGCCTCATTTGCATACCGAATGAGTCACCATTTTTTTCAGAAGAGGCTCTTGCGCAAGAAGGAGCATCTACACTGCCCCTTCTTGGGCAAGAAAAACCCTCTTGCGCAATGCTGTTACACCTATTACTTGAGAGGAAGAACGGCATTGCACAGGAGGGTTTTTCTTGCGCAAGAAGGGGCAGTGTAGACGCTCCTTCTTGCACAAGAGCCTCTTCTGAAAAAAATGGTGACTCATTCGGTATGCAAATGAGGCTTGGCGATATTCCACGCTTAGCCTCATTTGCATATTACTCGCGCAAGATGTCGCGAGTGTAGACATAGCCTAGGGCTTTTATTAAGAGAGAGTGTAGACATAGCCTAGGGCTTTTATTAAGAGAGAGTGTAGACATAGCCTAGGGCTTTTATTAAGAGAGAGTGTAGACATAGCCTAGGGCTTTTATTAAGAGAGAGTGTAGACATAGCCTAGGGCTTTTATTAAGAGAGAGTGTAGACATAGCCTAGGGCTTTTATTAAGAGAGAGTGTAGACATAGCCTAGGGCTTTTATTAAGAGAGAGTGTAGACATAGCCTAGGGCTTTTATTAAGAGAGAGTGTAGACATAGCCTAGGGCTTTTATTAAGAGAGAGTGTAGACATAGCCTAGGGCTTTTATTAAGAGAGAGTGTAGACATAGCCTAGGGCTTTTATTAAGAGAGAGTGTAGACATAGCCTAGGGCTTTTATTAAGAGAGAGTGTAGACATAGCCTAGGGCTTTTATTAAGAGAGAGTGTAGACATAGCCTAGGGCTTTTATTAAGAGAGAGTGTAGACATAGCCTAGGGCTTTTATTAAGAGAGAAGGAATGAAAGGGCATGACCAGAGCACCTGGATATTCTGTGCTACAGTAATAATCCAGAGAAGGCTGTTATTAGATGGCATGATTTACAGCAGCTTTGGGAAGAGAGGCCTTACAGAAATTGGAGATGGGAGGAACTATCGTATTATCCCACCCATCCCCACTACTGGCCAGGACAGTACATTTCCATTTGTATTAACCCAATATATTGCGCTGACATTTATTCTTTCGCAGCTAGAAGATTTACCCAGCACTGCTTTGGTCTTTAACTCAGGTAAGTTTTGTTTTTCTTCATTCCAGTCGTTGCTCTGGGATGGGGAGGGGGATGAAGGGTTCAGGGTGCAGGCTGCCCCTGCGAGAGAGGACAGCCCCAGCCTTCTCTCACTGCAGCAGCTTGAGGGCAGGTGAGACGCACCGCTCCATGGCTGCTGCGCTCCAGCAGGCACAGCGGTGGGGGGGGGGTACATGTCTCCCACCTGAGGCAGAGCCAGGTTCATCTGCCCCCTGTGCTCCCCAGCCAGAGTGGGAAATGCAGCAAACTGTATAATTTCCCCTGGTCCCTGATGAAGAGGGTCAACCAGGAACTATCCCGGTATGAATCTGGGAGAGGGTCCTCCTTAAAGGGCACCTAGAGTTGGAAGGCTCGGGGCTTGGGCAGTCCCTGATGAGAGTGGGGCACCCCCAGCCAATCCCTTCCATCTGGCTGGTGATTTTTTGTATGGTTTTATGTGGCCGGAGGAAAGGGGGTGCTTTAGGAGCCGCTCCTGCCCCCAGCACAATACTATTGGCCAGTTTCTGGCTAGAAACCGGCCAATGGGAGCTGCCTCCTTCCACCACAGGCTTCAAAGCACATGACTGCAGCCAGTGCAGGGGCAGGGCAGGCAGCAGTGTTCCCTCTAAGCTGCAAGGCAGCAGAGCTTCACAGGGGATTAATCAGTCCCCCCTCCCTCCCCGCCCCAGTCAGTCAACTCCCTGCATGGAGCCCTGAGCATCTGAGTGATCATCTGTGAAGCTGGGCTGTGTGCAGCTTAGAGGGAACACTGGCGGCAGGGAGGCTGATTCAGGAATGGGCTACTGGCTGGTAAGTCTAGGTTCGTCGGGGGACGGTGACCAAAACCCTGAGGGGAGTGGGAAAGTCAGATACCGTGCCACGCAGCTTAGAGGAAACACTGGCTGGCAGAGAGGCTGATTCAGGAACGGGCTGCTGGCTGGTAATTCTCCTGGCCAAACTCTGCCTCTGGCACCCCAGCCCCTCCCTTCCCCAAGTCTCTGCCCTCCACTCCTGTACCCATAACCCCTCCCAGATCTGGCATCCCAACCCCCTCCCCCAGATCACAGTTCCCTCCTGCCCTAGCTCACAACCCAAATCCCTGCACCTCCTCCTATGCCCCAATTTGCTGCCCTGGGTCACAGTCCAATCCCCTGCACCCTAGCCCCCTGCTCCAGGTCACAACTGCCTCATTCACCCAAACTCCCTCCTGCACCCAGCCTAGACCCCGCACTCCCTCCATTAATATCATGGAAAAGTGTGGCCCTCGACCATTTTCCAAATTCCTGGAGTGCCTCCCCCCGGCAAAAATTATTGCCCACCTGTCACAGAGAGACAAACTCTCCCAAATATATAGATGATCTGACTGTTAGAATGCAGGAAAAATGTAACAAATTCATTCCCTATTAAGGTTATTGGTCATTATACCTTTTTTCCTGAGAAAGATTTTGTAAGTACTTGTGACAGGTCATTGGTGACGAATGATCCTTGTGCATCCAGCTCGCTGATGCCTTGGGGTTCAAAGATGTTTACCTCGATCTGAAACATTCATTGAAAATACACTGTCATAGATAAACCCACAAATACAGCGACTTACATGGAGGACAGTGAGAAAATGTATATGCAGAATAGGGAACTTCATAATAAAGGGGAAATCAGCCTTTACAATGCAAAGTAGCATTCATGTTTGAATCAGAGATCCTTGGATTGTTCTGTTACCTACCCACGCTCCCCTGGGAGATTTAAAAAAGAAACCCAACTGTTTTTCTAATTGCTCACAAGGATTTGGGGCAGATGTCATGTCCTCTAAAAATATCGTACTATCAGTAGCATGAGAACCTATCTGATTATGATTTCTTTAGGCTGCAGTATGGTTTTAGCCTTCTGCATAGTGTTGTAAATAATGATTTAAGCATTTTTTATGACCAGTCATGGAATACATGCTTTTAAAGCATCTCCTGAGCACACTCTCCTGGGAGAGTAAATTATTGAATTACCAATGGATTCTAGTTGGACAGATAAGGAGATTTCTTAAACAAAGGAGACCTGGGTTTGAATCCAGTGGTATGGTTTGTATGTGTCTGTGAATGCAGGCAGTGTTGTTTGATATCAGTTTGACAAAGGTTTAGACTATTCTATTAGGCTACGTCTACACTGCAGTGTTATTTTGGGATAGCTAGCCCATGTCTTAACAGCAAGCCCATTATTTCAAAATATAATGGGTGCACTATTCTGATGTCCCCGTAAACCTCATTCCACGAGGAGCGAGGGTCGTTTTGGAATAGCATGTTATTTCGAAATAATTTGTGTAGGCAGCACCAAATTATGAAATAAGCTATTTTGAAATTGACTCGGAATAAGCTACGCAATTTGCGTAGCTCAAATTGTGTAGCTTATTTCAAGCTACAGATGCAGTATAGATGCACCCTTAAAGCATTTGTGAGAGAGAAGTGTTTCACATCCATCTTTACCTCAGGTGTGGTGATGATTTTCTCGTTCTCCAATATATCCTAGTTTAGTAGGGCTTATTGCTTGTTCCAATTAGTGAAGCTTATGTATGCAAACCAGTAATAAAACACATAATCACCATGACACACAAGCTATTGATTGGGGGCTTTCCCTTTAATTGTGAACTGGCATGGACTGTTACGAGTAATTTTGCATGTTTCAAAAGATGCACAAAATTTAATTGAATCTTGAGTTTCTATAACTACAGAATGGAACCACAGCAGGGTACAATTTAAATAACAGAGACATTTACCTCAAAGTTTTTAACAAGCTGCTTTGGTTTTACTTTAATGAACATCTCGTATTTTCCAAAGTTTCGCTTCAGCAGTTCCTCATAGACGAGCTCAAAAGTGACCTTGCTGGCTGCTGCAATGTTGACTGAAACAGTGAACTTTTCGGTTTTTCTCCCTGAAGCCCTGGAAATGTTACAAAGGAGGGAAAAAAAGGCTGCTTGTCCCTTCTCTCCTCTTGCATGTCTGTTCAAGAGCCAGGCACAGCCTGACCCACAAAAATGAATGTAAGAGAAGTGAGGTTTCTGGGTCTCATTCTTTATCACTAATTCATACTGAGAAGCATTTATACGGGCAGCTAAGTGGGAGTCATCACATGAATATGTACTATTCAATTAGTGAGGGTTGCATAATTAAATTTTTCACAAATCTGGATAGCCCATCACCAATCAGAAGCCCTGTCTCTATTATATAATAATCCAATAACCTTTCATATACAATGTGCGTTTTTACCAGAAGCTATAAAGTACATTCCTAATTTCATTTTTAGCTATGGGATGCTGGAATATGGAAACAAAAAGTTTAAGCCCGTTGTAAAGCAGCATTCTTACTTGACAAGACCTGCGGTCTGTCCCCGTGAAACGGCCTTCTCATATTGCTTTTTTGCAACTTCTTTTTCTTTTATGGTTCCAGGATAGGTAACACCATCAATTATCCTACAGATGAAAAGTATCTAATTTAGCTGGATGAGTTGGATTGACATGTGAACATATTATTGTGGGCTATCCTCTGCTCATTAACAAGCACGGTGTCTTATAAGAGATGGTCCTGCCAAGTGCTGAGCACTTCCTCTGAGGTGCAGAACACCTTCCATTTCCCATTTCTTCAACAGGAGTTAAGAGCACTGAGTTCTACATTTTACTAGATTAAGACTAATTCCTACTCTGAAAATAAATGAGACCCAAACCAAACTGGCTTGATGGTAACCACTGTTAAAATCTTTGGCAAACTGCTGTACCATGGCAATGCGAATATCATATTTTGAACAACGACACCAGGTGATGTATTGTACTTAAAAATGAAAAGATGTAATATTGGCCTCCATTTTCTGTCCTTCATCTGCTTTCAGCTACTATGTTCAAATATTGCTCCTAAAATATTGGGATTAAGTTATAATGTCATGATGGAAAAAATGGAGACAATGAAGCATCTTTCTAGAGATCCTAGATTTTAAAAAGTGGCATTTCTGGAAAATTTTCTTTGGGCCCTGCAAATGGGTAGAAAAAAGGGCAAATTGGGGGTCTTATCCACAAATGCACAATTGTCTGAAGGTCTCTCAAAAACCTTGCATCTGTATTTGTATCATCATTAACTTTGTCCAGGTAACATTTAAAAATCAGCCTAATACTAACATAAAAATAAAGATCTCAGTTCAGATTCTTAATGCTGCTAGTCTCTACTTCTCTGATTAAACCCTGACAGATTCTTAGTCCATGCTAGGAACTTAAATTCTGCTCACATGCTGAAGTTGGTAATGAAGGCTGTCTTAGGGAGATCCACATCAAAAACCACTTCCTTAGACACGTTGGCACGATTGACAGCTCGGCTAGTGATGACATTGTGGGCAAATCGAGAAGTCACTTTGCTGTCAATTTTCATGCTATAGATTTCTATGCCATTGACAATCTGAAGAATAAAAGAGGGCAAAATTATCACCAGTTACATCTGAACACTAAAACAGCAATAATTCTATGAAACAGAAACAACAGTAGGGAGTTCTAGCATTCCTCTTCAATGCATAACAGAAAAGAACAAGTTCTGGATTTGTTCAGGACCACTAAGGTACAATGAAGTTTGTTGGAGTGTTTTTAATATTGTCCATAAAAACAATAAGAACAGGCACACTGCATCAGACCAAAGGTCCAGCTACCCTGGAATCCTGTCTTCGGACAGTGACCAGTGCCAGGTGCCCCAGAGGGAATCAACAGAACAGGTGATTCATCAAGTGATCAATTCCCTATTGTTCATTCAAAGCTTCTGGCAAACAGAGGCTTGGGATGACATCCCTGTCCATCCTAGCTAATAGCTATTAATGGACCTATTGTCCATGAACTTATCTTTTTTTGAACCTTGTTATAGTTTTGACCTTCACATCCTCTGGCAAGGAGTCCCTCTGGTTGATTGCGCATTCTGCGACGAAATACTTTCCTTTGTTTGTTTTAAACTGACTGCCTATTATCTACTTTCTCTACACCAGTCATGATTTTATAGCCCGCAATCTTATCCATCACTTAAATCATCTCTTTTCAAAGCTGAAAAGGCCTAGTCTTATTAATCTCTCTGCACATACTGCCGTTCCAGACCTCTCGTCATTTTTATTGCCCTTTTCTGAACTTTTTCCAATTCTGATATATATTTTTTGTGATGGAGAGACACCCATCTGCAGGCAGTATTCAAGATATGGGCTTACTATAGATTTATAGAAGCAATATGATATTTTCTGTTTTATTATTTATACCAGTGGTCCCCAACTTGGTGCCCGCGGGCGCCATGGCGCCTGCTGGGGCATTTGTGTGCACCCACCAACAACCTGGTCAGGCCCCGCCTGCGGCGCACGGGAGGCGCCAGCCCCAGGCGCGCGACACGCACCGGCGCCGGGTGCGCAGCGCTCAGGCGGCGCTAGCCCCGGGGCACATGCGGGCGCTCGGGCGCGTGGCATTCAAGCGGCGCCGGTGCCAGCCCCAGGAGCGCGGCTTGGGCGGCAGCACCGGCCCCGGGCCCACGGCACAAGGCGCTTGGGTGGCCTCGGCCCTGGGCGCAATGTGCTCAGGCAGCTCCAGCCCCGGCCCTAGGGCACATGCCGGCGCCGGGTGCAAGGGCATCCCCGTCCCCTGGCGTGCCCCAGACGCGCGGCCCCGCCCCCGGGTGCCTGGCACGTGAGTGGCCCCACCCCCAGGCGCCCGGGAGCCTCTAAAGGTTGGGGACCACTGATCTATCCTCTTCTTAATGATTCCCAACATTCTGTTCCCTTTTTTGGCTACTGCTGCACATTGAGTGCATGTTTTCAAAGAACTATCTACAGTGACTAAAAGATATTTCTTGAATGATAACAGCTAATTTAGATTCCATTATTTTATGGCTACGTCTACACTGGCATGAATTTCCGAAAATGCTTTTAACAGAAAAGTTTTCAGTTAAAAGCATTTTCGAAAAAGCACGTCTAGATTGGCAGGATGCTTTTCCGCAAAAGCACTTTTTGCGGAAAAGCATCCGTGGGCAATCTAGACGCGCTTTTCCGCAAAAAAGCCCCGATCGCCATTTTCGCGATCAGGGCTTTTTTGCAGAAAACAATACTATGCTGTCTACACTGGCCCTTTCACGCAAAAGTCTTTCGGAAAAAGACTTTTGCCCGAACGGGAGCAGCATAGTATTTCCGGAAAAGCACTGATGATTTTACAGGAGATCGTCAGTGCTTTTCCGGAAATTCAAGCGGCCAGTGTAGACAGCTGGCAAGTTTAGACACAGCCTGTATGTATAGTTGAGATTGTTTTCCAATATGCATTACTTTACATTTATCAACATTAAAATTAATCTGTCATTCTGCTGCCCAGTTACCCGGTTTGAGATCCTTGTTAAGCTTTATACAGTCTACCTGGAATTTAACTAGCTTGAGTAGGTTTATCATCTGCAAATTTTGTCATCTCACCCCGTAAGCTTTTTTCCAGACCATTCCTGAATATGTTCAGGAGTACTGGTCCCAGAAGAAACCCCGGGGAAATAACACTATTTACTATTATGTAAAAATAATTATTCTAATAACAGTAACTATTATTAATTAATAATTAATTATTATTCTGCTAACAGTAACTAGTAGCCTCAGTAGCAACATGCAATCTCTAGATGACCCTGCTACTGTAACTCATGCTTTCGGAAATTTATAACATTTTGAAATAATTGTTTTTACCGTACCCATTATTCCTGTGCATGCGCAGTATGGGGTGGCCACAATGATATACGTCTGGTTAATGATACTAGTGGGTGCTGTAAAGAGCAGCTGAATAGCTGGCTCATATTCCTTACACCTAGAACGTGCCTTTGTATTAAAACTGGGGTCTCAGTGCCAACTGGCATCTACCTTAGAAGAGAAAACCACTTGCCTTCCTTGAAGGAAATACTTTAAAAAAAGATAAAATATTTCTGTTAGAGGCACAATGCCTAACAATGTTGATATATTGGTTGAATTACAACATTGGATTTACTGTTATTTGTTTATTCTCTTTTTACTGCATCAAGCTTGACTGACTTTGAGTTTGGGATATTACTGTATGTGAACCTCAGTAATCTGGGTGTTCCTGATCTGAGAACACCCATGGTTCGGACCCTGGAGGAGGTGGAGGAAGCGGCTTTGTGTGCTGCCACTGGGGCTGTGTCCAGACTCAGGGGTTTTTTCGGGAAAAGTAGCCTTTTCCCGAAAAAACTTCCCCTGCATCCAGACTCAAGCCGCGTTCTTTCGAAATTATTTCGAAAGAACGCAGCTTTTCTTTCAATGGCGGTAAACCTCGTTTCATGAGGAAGAACGCCTTCTTTCGAAAGTTCCTCTTTCGAAAGAAGGCGTTCTTCAATGTAAATAGGGCTTCCTCGAAAGAGAGCATCCAGACTCGCTGGGTGCTCTCTTTCGAAAAAGCGGATTGCTCTTTCGAAAGATCCGCCTGCAGTCTAGACGCGATCTTTCGAAAGAGGCTCTTTCGAAAGATGCTTTCGAAAGAGCCTCTTTCGAAAGAAGCCTGCAGTCTAGACATAGCCTGGGGGAACGGCAGCACAACAAAGCACCGGTCTGGAGGCTTTTCCTTCGCTGCTCCCACAACTGCAAGGGGCAGTGCTTAGGAGTGGTAGGAGGCAGTGCCCAGAAGCAGCAGGGTCATGGAGTCACATGTGCCTTTGACATCAGGTAAGAACCTTACCCCTAATTCTCTCCCAAACCCAGCACCCTCTTCCCCCTTGTGCACCCTCCCAGACCCTGCACCTCCACCCCTTAATTATGGTCTGGAGAATTCCATAATCCACCACAGCCTATTTCCCAAGGTTGCTGGATTAAAGATGTTCAAGTGTATTATGATTTCCTAAATCAAACACCTCAAGACTAGCATGTGTACCTAGAAATAATAATTACTCAAACTGTGCTCATTGCAGTAGGACGCAAGTCTTGAAAATAGTAAGAATATTTTATTAACAAACAATTCAAACTATCACGGTAGACTGAGGAACCTCAATATCTTCAGTTATAAATGAGAAGAGAACTTACCAAGTCATCAGCACTTCGCTTCTGTAAAGAGAAGAAATTGAAAAATTGTCTCATGATTATTTTAAGAATCTGTATACAAATAAACCTACTTCAGACAGATAAACCCACTTAGCATCTAGGTAGTACTTCAGCATCTATATAGCACTTCAGCAACTTCTAAGTCAAAAGGGAGTTTTATACAAATGAGTGATGTAGAGCCGGCCCATTGTTAGTAAATTCTAGGTTGATTCAGCCTTTGTTTTGGTACCATATGTTCTTCCATTTCTAGGTAAAATGTATTGGGTGCTGGTATTAAGTCTGGGTATACTCAAGCAATCAGTGGGAGACAGAAAATTATGATAGAGTCATTCATGATGTGGCCTATTTATTCTGTTTATGCAGCCCAAACCGTGCAGCCCTGATTACTTAATAATAAGCCTCAACAATTGTGTATTTGAAAGTTAGAATTTGAATGTTGCCGGGTTTGTGTTTTGCTTGGGAGACACTGAAAAAGGAGCAAGGGTGGGGCAGAATGAAAAACAAATACTAACAAACTAAAAAAAAGAGAAAGGGGGAAAAGAAAATTTAGAATAAAAATTAAATACAATCTAAATGCCACTTGGGGGACACACTCATGTACTAGCCTGGATTGATGGGAGTGGGTGATTTTGTTTGTTTGTTTGTTTGTTTGTGGGAAGAGTAGATCTTCAGTTCTTAATATCTTGAATAGACATCTATATGTGTACCTCTTTACTGCACAAAGCAGAAATAAAGAATGGCTTGGGGTATGTCTATACTACAGAGGGGCTTTTTTCAGAAAAACGGCTGTTTTTCCGAAAAAACTTCAGTTGTGTCGACACTGCAATCACGTTCTTCTGAAAAAAAAAATTGAAAGCACAGAGGGGTTTTTCCAGCATTGGTAATCCTCGTTCTACAAGGAAGAAGCCTTTTTCCAAAAGAGCTCTTTCGGAAAAAGGCATGTGTGGACGGGGAAGAGTTCTTTTGAAAGAAGAGGAAAGAGGAAAAAGCACAGGTGCCCTGGTGGCCACTCCGTGCATAGTAATCACAGCTGACATGTGAGATGGATACTATCTTTCAAAAAAGCAGATCGCTTTTTCGATGTGCTTTTGCAATGTGGACGCTCTCTTTCGGAAGAATTTTTTCCAGAAGATCTCTTCCAGAAAAGCTTCTTCTGAAAGAAGCCTGCAGTCTAGACATATCGGCTGTGTCTAGACTGGCCACTTTTTCCGGAAAAGCAGCTGCTTTTGCAGAAAAACTTGCCAGCTGTCTACACTGGCCACTTGAATTTCCGGAAAAGCACTGACAATCTCATGTAAGAGTGTCAGTGTTTTTGCGGAAATACTATGCTGCTCCCGTTTGGGCAAAAGTCTTTTTCCAAAAAACTTTTGCACAAAAGGGCCAGTGTAGACAACAGAGATTTGTTTTCCACAAAAAAGCCCCGATCACGAAAATGGCGATCAGGGCTTTTTGCGGAAAAGCGTCCGTGGCCAATCTAGACGTGCTTTTCCGAAAAAGCTTTTAACGGAAAACTTTTCCATTAAAAGCATTTCCGGAAAATCATGCCAGTGTAGACGTAGCCATCCTTAGTATCCCAAGATCCGTAGATTGCAAGGGCTAAACCCCCTTTTATCCACAGGAGGAACAACCTGGTCCATATAATGGCCTAACATGAGAGAAACTCCATGTGTTGGAATACAGTTTCCTGAATTTCAGGCAGGTATTTCCCACATTGAGAACAATTTGTCTTTTTAAAGAAACTGAATCTCCGCGGGGGAAAGGTGGTTGTGAACCTGAGCTAATTATGTGAACCCCAAAATATTTAGACATGCATGTATATGTGCTTGAGGCTTACTCGTCCATATATTTGTGTGAGTCAGCCCACCAGGTCACCATTTTCACACAAAATCTTATAGATCAATGGTTGCACAAACCTTTCCAATCACTCTCCCCATACGAATCACAGAATTTCTTGTGCCCCCTCCTCATTATTTCTGATCCCTTACTTCTTGCTAACAGCAGAGCTGTCTTCAGAGCTGAGTGGCACGAGAGAGGTGGCTGCTGGCCATGGAATTCATGTTGTTTGCAGTGTAGGGGTACTGAC